CATTTGTGCCCATTCTACATTCATGAGGTCACATCCTTTGTTCTGAAATTCTAGTGTTAGGAAAAAATCAGACAAATTGAAGTAGATGCAAACTAGGTCAACGGGAATGAGCAAGGAAGTAGAAAATAATGGTACAGAGAGAGCTTGAAGAAACTGAATGTGCTTAGCCTTGAGAAAGTGGAAAGGAAATATAAATATTCTTCAAATATCTGATGAGATATACAATAGAGATCAAGCTCTCTGACCTAGGCTTCCTGATACAGTAAAAAGCACATGCTTAGTCCCCAAAACACACTTGTTATTTCAAAGGCTGTGAATTATGTTCATTCAGAGCCCACAATGAGTCCCAAATAGATTGTACAGAATCCAACAGTAGTCTGCCAAAGTCTTTCAGGATAAGGCTGATAAACACCCACCTTTATCTTCTTTGAAACGCTGCCATAGACCTAATTGGCAATTAGCTTAGCAAGGCCACACAGAGCAAAGAGTTAAAATGGAACTTCAGAATGTAAACCGACCAGCATGAACAAAGTTGTTTCCTGCAAAGGCTCATGTGTCGTTGCTCTTCCTTTATGTCCTATGAGAGTGGCCAATCATCTCCAAATCTTACTCCTGAGTCATCCCTTTTGTCATAACTGTTCTTGCCTTCGGGAAGTTCTGTGCATGCGCTCACTGAGAACAGGCTCCCCCTGTTCCTCTGCCTTTCTGATGTGTGACTCTGGAGGCTCCGGAGGTAGGACATAACTCTCAAATGGCCCAGGAATCCTCTCTGCTTCCGACACAGAGCCCTTGTCCGAGTGTTCCCCAGACTCCAGGACTGGCCCATGTTCCTCCCTAACCTCCTCACTGTGCAACTCTGCTGCCAGCTCCACAGGCTACTGGCGGACCACAACACTCTGTTTCCTATTACCGGATCTATAGGACCCAGAATAATGAGTTTAAATTATAAGGGGGTTAAATGTTAAAAAAATTTCAAACTGTAAGCACAATTTGATTCAGAAAATTCAGAAAAGTGAACATGTGAGACTTTTAATTTGAATTCTTCCACTAAGCAGAGAAATGGCCTAAATGATCCCTTCCAACTTTGATATCTTTCAGAACATCAACTTCCTAGACTAGACTCTAATTGGAGAAGCAAATATTTATTTCCCTTTTTATTTTTTAATAGAAAACCCAGTAGTTACATCTTTATAGGAAAACTTGTGTGCTTCTTTACTTAAAAATCTAATATCCAGAGAAGCAATACCTTTATTAAGCCAGTTGTCAAGTGTCAAGACCATTGGAAACCAATTATGGATAAATAATCATAGATAAAAATCTAACAATGTGGTTGTTAACAGTTGAAACCGACTTGATGGCCCATAATCAATCAAATCAAGTACCGAGAAATCCTCATTGGGAAAGCTAATAGGACAGAGGGGAAATGGGGGAAAAACCCAGATAGATAAAAATGTTGCTATCTTAAAAACCATCTTTGTAGCAGTATATTAGATTAGATGATGTGATAGATGGCTTTTAGACCTGCAAATAGGTCTTATCAGATGTGGAATACTGTTAGGGTGCAATGAGTATTGTAGGAATAAACAAGTAAATATTGTAACTTGTCTATTTCTGATAATTCTACTTATTAGTCAGCATTATTTCCATTCTATTGAGATTCACTAATATAGAAGTCCAAATATGCTTTCCTTTGTAAGTTTATATTATATATAGTTTGAATTATAGTGCATGCATGATTTGTTATTATTAGTTATATTTTCTTGGTTATATTTTTGCTGCCGTTCTCTGCATATGAAGGGTCTTTTTTTTTACTTCCTAAGTGTTTCCTGTTTCCTGTTTGCTTTTCTCTTTTGCTTTTATTTAAAGGCATGATTATAGATTGTTTATATACATAAATATGTGCTGCATTATTTTAGAAGTAGCATCTAGAAGTATGGCATATTAAACTATTGGATTTGTTGGCATTTGAATGACATATATTGGCAAATGAATGGCCAATTTCATGGGAAACCATATGAAAACTAGGTGAATCAATGACCTGGCCATGATATTTCATCAGACTTTAATAATATAAATGTACAGGTAAAGCTATCCCCTATCCAGTTGTGTCTGAGTCTAGGGAACAGTGCTCATCTCTGTTTCTTAATTGAGGGAGTCAATTAATAGTCATATGCTATATGCTGACTCACATGGTATACTGTTACCATCCTACCAAAGTGGTATCTATTTATCTACTTGCATTTGCATTTGAAAGTTTACTATAGATTTCCGTTTAAAGCTTACTAAATACTGTGTGTTGCACAATTGATTTTGCAAATTTTGTGTACAAAACTTGAAAGTACTCTTCCCTGAAGCTAGAGCTAGCATATTTATTTATTTTATTTAAATAAAAATAAATTTTATTTTATTTATATATGGGCTGGAGTGCTTGATTTTGGCCTAACTTTATTGCTATTCAAATTATTAGAAAAATATGCTTTTTTAAATGAATACTCGCTTTTTGATTAGTATTAGGTGTCAACTGGTGAAGCATTCCTGACCTTCTTTCGAGTTGCCATAGGCAGGGGGATGGGAAAACCAAGTTTCGTGGATGCATTGAGAAGCACATTCCAGCGGCAATGTCAAGGTCTTCTCCAGGGGGACCCACAGTGGCCAGAGGGAGTGACTTCTACAACCCACAAAATTGCCTCATTTGAGGAATGTGACTGATGACACATCTTGAAGGGACGGGGAAACAGGGTCAGAGCCAAGGTGCGAATTAAATGAGGTGGCTTCCTTTGGATCGTGCCAACATGAAGCTTCTAATAAATAGATTTCTTTTGAAGCTTGGCTTGAGGCTCACGATTTAATTAGGGCATTGGTCGGAACACTGACTTAAGGTTCTAAAAGAATGAATCAATCACTGCTGCTCTTGTCTCAATGGTGCCAAGTAATTTTGGGGAAGACAAAGGTCCTCGTGTAACTTATAAGTTGTACACCATGTTGACTTGCTTCATAGCCTCTTTTTCATTCATGTAATTTTGTTTTGTTTTAATGTTATTCTACAATGATTGTAGTGCAACATTCTAGGAAGAATTTAAATCTAATCATTTTTGAAGTCCCAATGGTAAACTATATGAAATAACCAAGTAAGTTTTTGTCCTGAATTTTTTTTCCAATATCATCAGTGCTGGACTTTTATCTTCTTTATCATACATATGCATACATACACAAACAGAAACATCTCCATTCAGTTTGAGTCCAATATATCTAGAGCACATATTGGTAAAAGCTAATATTTCATAGATTTGAACACTACATCCATTCTATCCATCAAACACCAAATTCTTAACATATCTTCTCTGTAACTGCACAAACTAGAACTAAAGGAAAGATTTATTCTGGATCAAAAGAAAATGTGTCAAAATTAAGATTTTTATTTTCACTTGTTCCACCAGTTTTCTGCTGTATTCCCCAGACAAATTCAACTGTACTTTTGTGAGTGATCTCATGTGACACTAATAATGCAGAAAAAGGTGACAAAAATAAAACACTATGCATGTTTTAGGATGTGGAATGGTAAAACAGCAATTCTCACTGGACACATGTATGATAAAATCTTTGGACATACTGTATGCTTTTAAGTTTGATTTAAACTATATTCAATTTATATTGCAGCAGGGATTTTTATATGATCAGTCAATTACATCTGAATTGTCCAAGAGCAGGAATTCAAACAAAATGGCAGAATTGTTACCTACCGTATTTTTGGTGTATAAGACGCACCAAGGTTTTGAAGAGGCAAATTTTAAAAAAATTAGTTAGGTAGATAGAGGGATAGACAGGGAGAGAGAGAGAGAGAAATCCAGTAGATAGGTAGGGATAGAGAGAGTAGTTAGGTAGATAAAGGGATAGAGAGAAAAATAGAGAGCGATAGAGAAATACAGTAAGTAGGTAGGTAGAGGGAGGGAGGGAGAGAGAGAGTAGGTAGGTAGAGGGATAGAGAGAAATACAGTAGATAGGGATAGAGAGAGAGAGAGAAAGTAGGTTGGTAGGTAGAGGGATAGAGAAATAGAGAAATACAGTAGATAGGGAGGGCAAGAGTGAGTAGGTAGGTACATAGGTGATGGGGGGAGAAACACAGTAGATAGGGAGGGAGGGAGACAGAGAGTAGGTAGGTAGATAGAGGGAGGGAGAGAGAGAGAGAGGGAGGGAGGGAGAGAGAGGGAGAGAGAGAGATAGTAGGTAGGTAGGTAGATGTTTCCAGGTGTATTTATCCATGTGCTGGAGAAGGAAATTGCTGACAATCTGTAGCACCAAAGAGTTTGTTTCTGCTGGCACAGCACTTGATCAATGTAATTCTCATCAAACAGTAAAAGAGCTTTTCAAAAGGGGGGGGGAGTGAGTTTTTGCACTCTGCAAACCTCCCAAAAACGGCCCGTTTTTCGTGAAAACAGGCCCATTTTTAAAGGCATAAATAGCGTTGGGGGGGGGGAGCTTGCAGAGTGCTCCTGGGGGGGGGGCAAAAATGAACAAAAAACAGCCTGTTTTTTTGTCAAAAAAAAATTGCATGCATAGCCTTATGGAGGCTTATAGAGTGCTGCGGAGCGCCTATTTCTTGCTCATTTCTCTTGTCCCCAGCCCCCAGAAGCTCTCTGAAAGCCTCCATAAGGCCATTTTGGTGAAGGGGGCAGGGCTTCGGGAGGCAAAAATTGCTGTATTCAGTGTATAAAATGCACCCAGATTTTCAGCCTCTTTTTTGAGGAAAAAAGGTGCGTCTTATACTCCAAAAAATACGGTAAGTAAAAATATAATTTCATCATTTTTAAGGCCAATTTTTACTATCACAATGAGATCTGAGAAATTGGTAGTGAATCTCAGTATTTGAGAAATAATAAAATGGCTTCATTTATCCAAATTTTGAAATAAATGTTGATTAATTACATTTAATGCAATACTACAGTATCAAATTTAGAATTTCTCATTTAATCATAACAACAATTTCTTCTACTCATCAATTGTTTCTTTAAAATATATATATATATATTTTATTCCTTTTCAGGTCATAAAAAAACCTACACGTACAAACCAGTACCATTTTAACAAGAAAAATTGCATTCTATAAACCAGGATGAAAGAATTCTAATAAAAAGACAGCTTCAACATTTTTAACATTTGTAATAATATGTTACCAGATTTTTATCACTTAGCATGAGACTTAGTTTTATTTTCAACGAATGTCCCAAGGGTGCTTTTTCAAAAGGCAACTGCACTTTTGTTTTTCCTTGAAGATGTTTTAGGAACTTCAGGACAACCATGACCTGGATGACTGAGAATCTCCACATGCACTTTTAGTGAATAATACATAATCTTTAAATAATTTCTTGCTGTCTTAGAAGGGGCACAATGACCTTAAAAGTGTTTTCCGCAATAAAAACTGTTATTGAAAAATGAGATTAAAAAATAAGAAAAGGCCACTTGTGGTTTCAACAATACTGTGCTATCATCTTAAAATAAAAGCAATTGATACAAAGAATTCCAACTACAAACCCGAACACCCAAACCAGTCAAGTAATTTTAAATATTTTGATGCTGCAATACACAAAAGACTTTGGGGGATAAGGAAAAGAGAGAAAAAAAGGGATGGTTTACTTTTGCCCCTTGAATCTTGGTTTTTTTTTTAAATAGACATCTCCCATTTCTCAGTTATTTCCATCTACATAATGCAAAAATTAACCTTAAATTTTTGTCAACTCGTTTACATGAATTCTTTTGGAAATTGGAAGAGTTTATTTTTCACACAATTGTCCCCAATAATCCCCAAATCTTCTCCAGGATGGGTTATCTCTTTTAAGGCACGGTGATTTTGGAAAAAGATCCTCTACTGAAGCTACTGTGTAGTATGCTGACTTCATGATGTTAATATTATGCGAAGACTCCACAAAAATTAATAGAATGTTCTTCCAGGTATTTTAAGATAGAAGTTACAGTTGTATAAATAGATGGCAATGTTTTCTCTGTAAATGCAGCAATGTTTTTTAAGTTGAATGTTGATTGTCAGACATAAGCTCCCAATGCTGCATGAAATTCAGTTAGACACTGCACCAGCTGCTGGAATTTAGGTCTCTCCTCAGGATCTAGTGCCCAGCAACAAGCCATCACAGCAAATCTAAAAAAAAAAAAAAAAAAAGCAAGCAGAAGTCATTCAAACTTGTCATACATACCGCAACACATTTTGTACATTGTACACCATTTAAGATCAGAAAGTTACTGTTGTATACATTTTAATATAAAACACTTTGGGATTTTTGCTGGAATTGTTTAGTGAATTTTTAAATGGTCACTAAAAATTAGTGATTTTTTTTAACTCACTAATTAAAATTATGGTCTTAGCTATTATGGCCTTGACTATGAAAAGTTGTAAAATAAGCTCTTCCTTTGCCCACTCCTACAGAAAAAGAAATGCTGAATGTCTAGTTAAACAATTTTAAATTAGTTCTCAATGATTGATTAAGTGCAAGTCACCACCAACTGCAGGCATTTCTACTTACAATTCATCAGGGCAGTTGATTGGTTGAGCTATTCTGTATCCATCCTTAAGATAAGCAGCCATCTCAAAGGGATCAATATCTACATATGGAGTTTGTCCTAAAGTCATTAATTCCCATAAAGTCACCCCAAAAGACCACTAGAAAACATTAGATAGAACAGCTGATTAGACTTTAAAAATATTGTTTCAACATTTTTCATATTTAGGAATTCAAAGCAAATGTTTCTAAATATTTAATATAACATTTAAATATAGGTGAGTTGCAGTGAAACAGATATGGTCACAAAATTGTTTAGTTATTCTTTTAAGTACTTTAAAAATGTTATCACTTTGTATTCAAACACACAAATAGAAACACACATGCAGGATACACAACCTGAATGCACAAACATATATTTAAAATATAGTCAATTTTAAAAAAAGTTATTTTATATTTAGATCAGATGACTTAACAATCATTTTTATCATCATTATGCTGTAAAAGAATTTACAGTTCAAAATAATCTAGTTAAACATTTCCTGTAATCTTAATATAAAAATGTAAAAAACATTTATAGTATTGAGATAAGTTTGCTAATTAAAGCAGTCCTAAAATTCTCCCAAAGACTAGATAAAACAATTGTCATTATGAAGTACCAGAAATGAAAATCTTTCTATAATAGAAGACTTTGAATATGGTAGTAATCAAAGCCTTCTTGTTCCACTGACATGTTAATAGATTGGATTGATAAATTATGCTAATCTCTAGGTGTCTTCTTTTCCAATGGGGGATTTCTACTTTTTATCAATGGAAGACAAAATAGGAGGAAAAATTGAAAGAAAATTATAAACTCACTCTGCAAGGCTTGAACTGGCCCACCTTTAAGAAGCAGGGATTCCATTGTCATGGCCATTTCTGTTCAACTTTGGAACTGGTCTGACAAATGTAGTTAACATATACTTCTTGCAAAGAAAACAAACTTATCTCAAAACTAACAAAATCAGTGAACTTTTAATGAAAAGTGAAAAATACGGTCCAGATATTACAAATCCTATTCAACATAAATGAAATAGCTTGGTTTTCTATGGAAATTATTCAGCAATCCAGCTATTAAGAATATGCAATCTAGCAAATAAACTAAGAGGCTCTGTGACAGGACTGCACTCATAAGTAGCATGAACTTGCAAGTGTATTTTTATGGATTGGGAAGAGGGAACAGAAGAATAATACTTTCACGGAATGCTTTCACAGAATGCATGTCACAAAACTCAATATGTTAGATTCCCAAGTAAATGGCATGTAGCTTTAGTTGGATTTATTTTAGCCTTTATGATATCAGTAAATAATTCAGCTAAAATGGCTTAAGCTCAAGATTTCTAGGATTTCTAAATGCAATAATATGACAGAATCTTTTGGTTAATAAAAGGGAAGTAAGGTTTAAATGAGAGAAAAGTTAAACATTTAAAGCTGTAGTCTTTATTCCTTTATTATTCTGATAATTTTAATGCTATTATGGTGTCTGGTGGTTCAATACTTTTTGCTATCAAATAACACCATGAGTGCATAGCACTTCTCTGAAATGTTTGGCTGCAAGGATTTCTAAATACAAAATGTAGGCCCAAAAACATGGGTTTCCAAACTTGGCAACTATAAGACGTGTGGATTTCAACTCCCAGAATTCCCCAACCAGAAGTTAAAGTTGCCAAGTTTGGAGATTCCTGATCTAAAATTTAACCCTATCCACACATAAACAGCTCATATATCATAATCAAGTAACCTGCATGTAGACTTAGAAGAAAGAATTAAGAATGATTTCAGCCATTAAATTACTATAGCCATGAAAGATGCAAAATAAAATATCTCATATAATAATTAACAATGATTAAAACAATCCATTTGGAATGTATTTCCTGGTTCACTGACTTTTACATGTAATTTTAAGGGCTGGCTAGAAAGACTGGTAAAGGAGGGAGAAACATTGAAAGCAACAAAAATGAGGAACCCAAACAAAAAGGAATTGTTCTGGATCTGTTTAGAAAATGCAATATAAGACTAATTTATAATATATCGTAAGTATAATCTTTATTGTCATTATACTTAAATACAACAAAATTGGTTGTCTTACTTTATCATCTCACTTTAAAGTTTAAGAAAGGATACTGTCATATGTTTTGAACATTGTAGTTAATAAAATTTAAGCTGATACATTCTATCATCTTATATTGTAATGCATTTATAAAGCTTTTGCACACATTCTAATATAACCAATGAAGGCAAAGTAGTACTACAAAGTAGTGGCTATAATGCTGGTAATGAATAAGGGTAACTTCTTCAAACACCTTCCAGTTATAAATGATGTATACAACTGTATTTCTCAAACCAATTTTGCTTTAAGATCATTGGCAGAAACAACCGTATTGGTCACCTTAAGAAAGCTATCTGCAAGCAGCAATTTAAAAAAATATTTACATGGTTTAAAAGATTCTAATATGATATTGAATAATTTATATTAACTTACCACATCACTAGCACCAGAAAATTCATTGTTAACCAAGCTTTCAAGAGCCATCCAACGCACTGGTCTGTTTTCATTATCTCCAAGGCAATGATAATCCATTGGAAATAAGTCTCTGGATAGAGCATTATCTGTAATCTTTACCTGAAGTGCATCATCAATGCTGCATATTGAAATATATATGGACAATCATTTAGGCAAGGCAGTAAAATTTTTATAGGCAAGTCTTAATCATCGTAAGTCATTCTTCCCACACAGTGTTCAAAAAATCACACTGTATAATATAGTCTAATATTAGCAATGCAAACATAATTCATTTTATTGTTTAGGGTTTGACACTTCTTAAAATGTAAGTGTGTCCCGTCCCATTTTGCTGTCGCCATGGTTCATGCAAATATATACAAATTCTATAAATTGAAAACTTTTCATTAATTTTAAATATTGTGGCTGAAAGTAACGGAATATAGGGAAGGAATAAACTGCCAAGAAATACATCCTTTCGGGGGTTTTGAATCCACATATTCCTGTACTATCTCTGATGAGAAAGGGTGACCTGATCTGACTGAACAGTAGAACATTTAAAATAATGTTCTTCCAACACCACTGCTTTATGTATTTATCTCTTTACACTTACACACAGTTTCTAGCAGCCAAGTCTTTGTGAATAACTTCTCTTCTGGCCAAATAGCTCATTCCACAGGCAATTTGAATTGCCATATGTACAAGGTCTTGTTGAGAAATTGCCTGAAATAAAAGGTGATATTTTATTAACTTGTTCAAACAAAATTTAGTTATTATTTATTCATGATTAAAGTTCATGACTAAAACATAGTTCACCCTAAAAAGTAAATGGTCACTGAGAAAGGTCATCAAAATAAAAATCTGAATTATCATTTTGATCTATAGTTTAGATCTTACCGTAAATCTAGATCAGGGGTGTTAAACTCAAGGCCTGGGGGCCGTATTTGGTGCTTAGATCTGGCCCACGGAACCGCACTGGAAACAGCGACAGATTGGCCCGCGGTGCGTCTGCCAGTAAAAAGTTTTCACTGGCAGAGGGTTGCAGGAGGTCATCGCAGCCAAAAATGGAGCTTGGGAGCCCGTTGCTGCTGGCAGAGCACTTGGGCCACCACAGGAGCCAACATGAGTGACAATGAGCTAGCCATACCCACCCTGGCCCCCTAGGTCAAACATCACTCTCATGCAACCCTCCATGAAATTGAGTTTCACACCCCTGGTTCAGATAAAAAAGTTGCTGTTTTAATGCCAGCAAAGCTTTCTCCAACCCAACTAAACTCAGATATTAGACAGATATGTCACATGGTTTTAAAATCAAATATAGATTCTAATGATGTAAAAATATCCTGAAGGGTTATGGGAGACCAAAGGGCTATCAAATCAGATCTATGAAATTAGATTTGCACTCTGGTCATTAGCAAGTGGAAAGGTCACAAGAATTGAGGGAATGTCTAAAAAATATGGCAAACATCAGAAGAATACAGGTCACATAGGTCAACAAGCTAGTCTGAATGAAATATAGTGAAACAGACTTGCTCCATATTGGCAAAGGAGTTATTTGTTTAGCTTGTATGCTGAATATATGTTGAGAGAAGCTGGACTGGAAGAAGATAAGCATGTTTTTAAAACTGAAGAAAGAAACATCAATAACCTGCACTATATTGGTGACATTGCACTGATACCTGAAAATGCAAATAATCTGCAAGGTCTAGTCATGAAAGGCAAGGAGCATAGTGAAAAAATGGTACTAAGATTAAAGATAAAGAAGACCAAACTAATGATAACAGGTATAATAAGCAGCCTTAGCAATGATAATAAAGCTACTGAAATGGTGGATGGCTTCCGTCTTTTAGCATCAACTATCAATAGTAAAGAAACCAACAATCAAGAAACATACAGTAGAATAGCACTTGGTAGACTTACAATGAAGACCTTTGAAAAATTATTCAGATGCTGTGACGCAACAACATATAAAAAGATTAGAATTCATACAAATATTTTATCTGTGACATTCTATGGAAATGGAAGTTGGACTGAAGCAGTTTTAGACACATAATGAGAAGTCCTAGCTTTCTTGAGTAATATATAATGTTTGGAAATTGTGAAAGGAAGAGAAGAACATGAACAGCAATAAGGCGGATAGACTCTTGAACTCACGACGGGGCTGGGGGCAGATCATCCTGGAAAATGCTATGTAGTCACTGAGAGTTAATACTCGAGAGCACATAATCAATTAGTAGCATTTTTATGCATTTTATTGAATAGCTTCAATAAAAGGAATCATTTTTCCATATTCGCAAACCTGTGGGCCCTAAACCAATCAAGTCATATCTTTTATTCTATAGATCAGTGATAGCGCTGAGTGCCCAAACCGGAATACGTGTGCATGTGCGCATAGCGGAGCACCAGAAATCCAAAGACCAGCTGGCTGGCACGAGCAAGCCTGCTTTTTTTGACTGTCTTGAGGGCCATTTTCCAGGCCTGAATTTGGCTGGAAAATGGCTGGGAAAATAGCCCTTTTTGGCCATTTTCAGCCTGAGAAACGACCTGAAAATGGCCAAAAAATGGGCTGGTTTTTCAGGTCATTTTTTGGGGCGTTTCCCGCTGCTCCAGTGCCTGCGAAGACCAGCATGTGTGCCGGAAACCAAAAGAGCAGCTGATGATGGAGTGGGTGCCCACAGAGAGGGCTCTGCATGCCACCTCTGACACACGTGCCATAGGTTCACCATCACGCTACAGATCTTAATTTCCACTTGAAATTAATCCTTACAAGTACCTGCAGCCTACAGAATAAGTGCAAAATGATTTGCACATGCACACAATTTTAATTTGTTTTTTTGGGGGGGGGGAGATGAGACTCTTAGGTGCATATTCCGTGAAAGATTGTTAATTTGCAGTAAAAAGATTTACTGCCCAAAAAACATACTGCTTATTAAAGATTTGTCACAAAACTTGATAAAAACAAGACATTGTGAACCTCTTTCAGATCATGTCAAGAAATCTGAATGTTTATAATATCCAGAGTGGAGACTATTTTGAATCCTAAGATTAAACATATCTTACCTGAGGGTTATTAGCTTCTACAAGTTTGCATTGTCGCAAGAAAAGCTTGAGATTCCCCCAATTCATATAAGGCAACAGCACCATTGGTTTTTCTCCTTCCTCAATACAAGCATGAGTGATTGGGAGTAGATTTCTGAAAGAAATATAATGTTGGCTTGTTATAATGTTATCCCATTTCATTGTTGATTAATATTCCATGACCAATCAGTACTGCTGCATATATTGTAGAATTATCATCCTTATCCTTTTTGTTTCTATTTTTCTGCAATGCATTTCTGTATAAATAGTATACAAAAATATATCTAGGAGAGGTAAATTATGACATTTTATAATTACATCAAAAAGCACAGCTGAATAAAATGAAACATATGGGAAGTGACCTTACTAGTTACTTGATAAACTTAGCTAATAAAAAGAAATCACATTCAACAAGAACTTTATCTTCTATCAAGAGATAATAAACACCCACAATTATGTATACTGTATATTGGTCAATCCAGGATTTCTTTATGTTTCTATGAATAATTATACTGAGGAAAAAAAATGATGCTGCTTCAGTCTGTCACATAAAAAATAGCAATTTATTTCTCTGTATTATGAATTAAATATTAAGAATTAGCTAAAGATATGAAATGAATACTAATTTCCTATTTATCATAGGACAAAAGTAAGAAATTACTAAAAAAAATTAAAACATGTTTAGGACTGCAGAAAAGATTGATTTCATTTTAAAAATAATTCTTTTAAAATATTTTTTCAGTTACATTTCTGGACATTTTCAGATATTGCAAAAGTTTCTTGGTGAAACATGCTTTCCTCACCCTCAAATGCTTCTCTTCTCTTTTGCTTTATGTTTGCTCTTTAGCAAATAATGAACAAGATATTCCTGAAGGCAGAAGTTGACAATTTTGAATCTTCAATAATTTTTTAAAAAGCTATTTGCTGAAATAAACCTTAAATAAGCCTTTCAATCCCGTAAAACAATTTTAGCCTGATTTTAAAAGAAGAACTAACCTGTGATGAAGACCTCTGAGTTTACTGCTTTCTGTCAGCATCATTGTTATTTGAATTTCGGAAGCTTGATCTAGAAAGCCAAATCTTTGTTAAAGTCAATTTGTATAGACGGAAAAAAAGCTTTCTTGAAATAAGTTTGCAGACTTAAATATAAAAACTCAAAATGCCTGAAGAATGAAGAAACTGGATGAAGTAGTGTATCTCCTAACTTCGTAAATTTGATCAGAATAATTTGGTAGCACTTTTAAAAGTTCTTGATTTGTCCGGTTCCTTCAATTCCTTCTTCTTTTGTAATAAGTTGGGATCTCCAAGTAATAAATGAAATATGCAAGTATTTTTGTATAGCATAATTTTAACTATATTTATCTGAAACAATCCTGTACTTGAATTCATTGTCATATGATACCTCATGCCAACTTTTCCATGTAAATGACTAATAAAACAAGATTCAAATTATATATGATGCTCCACATTCAATGAAAACTTGTTTATATAATAAATATACCACATTGCACCTTTTTCCTCACATACACTTCCACAAGTATTATCTGGGAAGATAAGGAATATACCGAATTGTTTCACTTAAGTGAAAATAGCTACAAGGAAAATAAAGCAATAAGGCTATGCTGCTGTATTAAAGCTCTAACACCACTTAATTTTTAGATACTACTTGATAACTGTGACCCATTGGGTAATTCTCTCAGATATATTTCTTTACCTAAACAGAGAAACAATTAGTCACAGGAAGGCAAAAAGGCAGTGGAAACAGGAACAACTTATAATCTCCTGCCCGTTTTCAAATCGATGCTGCTTGTGGGAAGTGGAAAGGAGTGTTGGAAATCACTCTTCCTACTCCTCGGTTGACCCGCAGAACTGTCTACCATTTGGTTGAAAAGAGGGAGAACAAAGGGAGCCAAAGACTATGAGGAAAACTGCACCTTTGTTTGCCATTCCAACAGCCCTCCCTTTCAGGGAGAAAGAGATCTGATCTCTCAACCACTATGTCCCCCAGCAAGCCCTACTTTGTCAGTAAACATCTAGGTCACTCTCTTGTTCTATTCCTCACTCCCTACTCAGAAATTTCAGAATTGCAGCCTTGGTCGGGCCTTTCTGCCAGCTGTAGGTCAAGAAGAAGGTGGGAAAGAGGGTGGGAATACACCCTTCTCATCTTCCTTTGTGCTATGGAAGATACAAATTTCTGGGAAGTATAAGCAGAAGTCATCGTAGCACTGAAGCAGCCACAATTTTTGTTAATTTCAGGCCCACAGAATTGATGGGTCCCAGATTTTGGATGCATTCTGTAAGGTAGCTCATTTCAGGTACCTTGGTTCAAAAATCATCGTCCTATGATACGCTGCTTCATCCAATTGAAGATCATAAATAAACAGACATGAGAGTTTTGGTAATATATCGATTGCATGGAAAGAAATATAATTGTAATGACATAAGAATTGTAAAAAAGGATAGAGCAATAGAATATATCCAAATTATATTTGTATGTGTGTGCATAGATAACATCAAAAAAGAAAATGTGCCTAAATAAATATGCTCATGAAATATTAAGCATTTAGATATTGCATATAACTCTATAACTGAAAGAAGCAATAAGACACCAAAGCATATTCATTAGATTAAATTATCACACTTTTCACTCAGAAAACATAGAATACATGCATGTGATACAAAAACAAGTTACAAGGATTGAAAATGCACTTGTAATTTTATCTTAAACTACAACAATTTAAGTTAATAACTAGGTAAGTTTTAAAAACTTAGTAACTATAACTACTCTCTGCCAGACATTGATCGATTCATATTAAATTTTCTCTGGGTATCTGAATTACTGGGTGTCACATTATATTATCCATTTCTCTTGTACATATTGGACAAATTATTTTGATTGAGAAATAAAAATAGACAAACAAAAGCAAAATATGGAAACATAAGAAAACCATCAACAATATTTTGAAAGCTTTTTCTATACAAGGTGTCTACAAAATGTTAATACAGGTTATGTGCATGGAAATTACCTATTACCTAAGTTTCTTTAAAAAAACTGTTTTAGTAATTAGATAATTTCAAGTATGAATAGCCGAGCAAAAAGCTGACACGTTCAAATTAAAACTAGGATATTAAAATAATGTTCTATTCAATCTGCTTTATCTTTTAAAACAGTTCCAAAATTTTGGATTTGATCCCAAGTATTTGAACCATGCCTGATAGGATCATTTCCAAAGGAGAACTATTCTATTCATGCAGAATAAACTCTAGATCAAACCTATTGTTTTTTCTTATCAATATTATTTCCTTGTTGTTTCTAATAAATCATTCATTTTTCTAGGAAAACAAATCTAAGTCAGTAATAGTCAGTAATTTAAAATGCATACCCACTCTACCTAAGATGCAACCAAAGGGGACATGGAAGTGAACATTCTCTGAAAGAGTTTCCCTTCTAGAGAATGGTCTCCCATCAAACTGCACCCTCACTCTTATTTTCCAGGAAGCATTTTCAAAATGGCCTTGAAATGTGAATGTGGAGATTAAGATGAAGATAAAGAAATACTTAAGCTGAAATAAATTTGACTATTTAGTGCTGTTTTCATATATTAATGCCATTTTGAATCTATGTTAATTCTTGATAGTACTTATAGCAATCAGTTATAATTTATCAAATGATACATGTTGATAGTACTTATGTTTCTAATTGCTAATAACTTTGATTTATATATTATGTATTTAATGTTACGCTATAAACCTCTTAGGAACTATATAACTGAAATGGCATAGAAACTCCTGCAATATATTTTTAAAATACCTCATGATAAAAGGCAGCAGTAAATTCTGATTATCAATTCATTAGCAAAATAGGTGGATAGGATCCCTTTTAGTTTTCTTAATTCTAGACTTCTTCACAAGACCATGTACTTGGTTCTTTGAATTAGAAAAGTACAAGCTAGAGGCCCTTTCAATGTATTATTCAAAGCTAGTATGTTTATGTGTTTCTATTTTTCTTTCTCCCTGTTATCTTTTATATCGCAAACTGATTTCCCAATAGAATTTGGAATGATTTCCCTTTAAAACACATATTTCTAAGGTTCTGTGGAAGGCACCAACTACCAGATTCACTAATCCAATCTCTTTACTGTTTCGTTGTCTTCTAAAAATATGCTTTAAATGTACACATATGTATAATAAAATGGGACCCTCTATTTTCTGTGAACTGAAAAAAATGTGTGCTAAAGGTCATTTCTTTTGATCCACCTAGAAATGAATGTTGATGAAGAAACACGGCTCCCCAAGAATAAAATTCTATGTTAAAAACTTACCTTTTACTGTTTTGACAAAGATTTGTTTTTCTTTACTAGGATCTTTCTCTTCTATTAGAATACCATGGAAAATTCGACCAAATGTGCCTGAGAATAAGAAAAAAGAAAAAAAGTAATATAAAAATATTTGTACATACTTCAAACAACTCAACTTTGAAGAGCAATTAAGGCTAGCAATTGATCCTCCTCCTCAGAACATTCACAGCTAATGCTTCTTTGCTTTGAATCACACAGTATTTGACACCTGAACTTTGATTTGTTATTGTATAATTTGGGGAAACAAAAAAAGACTTGCCAATATAAACTTTAGAAGCTAACTCAGTTATAGTGAAACCCTCATTTTCAAAAAATGTAGAACTCATTAAACCCATCCACTCAACTAATTCAAAACACGCCCAATGTCACTGAAAGTCATGGCATACACATTTTATAAATTATTATTATTGAAATACAATTTAATATAGGCTTGCTGAAACCTTTTAAAGTCCATTTTAAGATAGTCAGACCAGATAAATTGAAAATCACAATCTTTCCCTAGTGAAACTTTGCAAACTTGCTCTTCCAATTGTGCACTTTGATTGCCTCCAGCACTAGAATGTTATGTCTGAATTAATTTGATTAGAAAAGCTGGGAAATGAGCAACTTAACCAGAAGTTAAAAGCTTAAGAAGCAACATCAATTACAAGGGCTTGGACATGACATTTGAATGCAGAAACTGTGGCAATGGTTCTGTATTATGTAGCATTGAAAAGCAATTTTTGAGAACAAAAATTAACTTATAAAAATGGTAAAATAGTTATTTTTTTATTATTAAATAATTTATACTCTACAGATGCTGCCTCAAAGAAACTTTTTTCCCTAAGCATTAAGCAAGAAGGAATCAGACTCGGGTGCAGTATGTTGCTAATACTTTTGACTTATTTACGAACCTAAGCACATCGATTCTGGTTAGTAAACTGTATATGAAAACCATATATAATTCCAGGGTTGCCAGCTAGATTGGGAAGTTTCTAAAGAAGATGCTCCAATGAAAGGCATTTTTATGCTTCTCCACAGCAGTTTATTTTTAATTTGATTACTTTCTCTATCAAAGACGACCAGTTTTTTCATCTTGTATTAGACATCTAAGTTTAACCAAGTTGTAACAAAAAACTTCTGATAAAAATCAGTGGCAGCCTTGGAGACTTCTTTCATTAGGGGTATTCCTTGGAATCCTGACAATCAGTTTTTAAATTGACAATTTTCTTGATTATTTTGGTTAACTCTTTGATTAAAACTACCAACATCTATCTGAATAATTTACAGAAACTGTGAAAAGAGAGAAAAAAATGTAAAAAAAATAAAGAGCAACACATAAATAATACCTTCCTGAAGAACATCTTTTAATGTTATCCTTTCTCTGGAGATTGCTATATCCTTCACTTTAGCTTTTGCCTCCATCAGAGTTACACTTTTAAGGTCATTCTTCTCTATCCGTAAAGTAGGATAACCTGAGGAACCAGCAAACCCAAACAATAGCAATATAAATATCAAATGTAAATACTTGAAGTACAAGTTTAATTAAACAATTAGAGACAAAAATATGTTGCAACTTAAAGAAATGTCATTTTTAATACTGCAAGAAAAATACCCACTCCTGGACAATACTGTACGTATTTATTTTATTTAACCTAGAGATCAGAAGTGTCAAACTCACGTCGTCACTGCAGCGTCACGTGACATATCAGAACTCCCCCCCCCTTTGCTAAACCAGGTGTGGGCGTGTGACCCATCCAGTCCATGGGTCAGCATGACAACCCTGCTGTAAACGGTTCGATTCAAAAATAACTACACAAAGTAAAATTAAAAACCCAACATATAAAACACTAGAAGATAAAAGCATCAATACCAAGCCAAATCAAACCCAACCCAAAACCCAATTCAATGTTTTTTACATGATAATAAAAGCATTTCCTTGTATTTAGTTACTAAACACTATACAAGCTTATAATATTTTAGTAGTCAAGAAAGTAGGCACACTGCCATCTTCTGGACTTTAAATGGCACTGTTATATGAAAGCTGTTTTATTTCTCTATATACTTTGCAAAATTAGAATTTATAGCAATTGTTTTCATAAAGATATTGCTTATTTATGGAGACTGATAAAGTATTGTAAGGTTTGTTCAAAAATATTTTTAGTAGTAAATTAGTTGAAAATTCTCTTTTGTAGGCATGTTGATGTAAGCCCTCAATTCCTTCTACTAGTTAAAAAAGCTGATAATTAAATAACCATCTTTTATTTTAAGAATCTCTATGTGATCATTCAAGGAAAAATTCTACCTTATAGCCTGACAGAATTAATTTATTCAGTCACAGACAAAATTATTACAGTCATTTCAAAGAGCTAGCATATTTAAAAATGAGTTAGTTTACACATGACTTCTGAGATAGCAACGTCAAAAGCACATAAAACAACTAAGGTATCACAGAGAGTTAGTACTGGAATTCAGATATTAGCACAAGACATACATTGCTGACTTCTGTCATGTGATGTATTTTTTTTCTGTAAATTCCTTTATATTAGCCTTTAACTTAGAGGCAAAACAATCTGACCTAAATAGTCAGAAACTATAATAAAAATCTCAGGACATAACTTTAATGGGTTTTTTGTCCTTGATTGATATATAAAATAATATGCTTAACAATATGGAAACCATAATTTATATACCACAAGCAAATTTTAAAATATTTATTGAAATGCTGGTCTACTTAAAATAGTTTTCTTGAGAATAGTCATGCTTATTTTCTTGTGAATATGAGCATATATTAACTAATTATGATTAATTATGCAATAAAAAGAACTGCTTGAATTCAGTGACACAAAGACAATGAATAATCTAAACATTTAGGTCTTTTGATATCTGTCTATAATGGTATGATAAATCTGACTTTGTTTTCACTGCATTGCTTTGGGTTTTGTTTTTTTACCTGAAGCCTTTACAGCAGGTTAAAAAATAGGATTAATATTACTAGATAATAAAACAGATATACCTTCTGAAGTTTTATTGTTTAAAGTACAATAAAACTGGTTTCTCAAAATGATGGATTGAATTCTTAATTTAAGTTAGAAGAAAGTTTTGTCTATTATATGTGCATCTTTGTTTTCTTGTAGCCCTGAAAATTTAAGGGCAAAATTAACTGTTTTTATCTCACCTCTTACTTTAACTCTTAGTCAACTTCTATTTGATTTTTTTTTTAAACAATCAGTAACACTACACAGTTTTCCTCAACTTTAGCTGATTTCCAAATTGTATGAATTTCAATTCCCTAAATTCTCAACAATGGACATGATAGTTGGAAATTCTGGTAGAATCTCTGGGAGTAAAAGACTACATAAAAGACTAATGAATAATGCAAAACCTGTAATTAGATAAACACTTACTGGTAATTGGTGTAGCATTATTAGGTGTGTCAGCTCTCAGATACTGGGTTGTTTGAGTTGAAGGCTGGGATAAACCTTGAGAACTACTGCTGTTACTAATGCTGCTTTGGAAAACAAACACAAAATACATTATTGTTTCCAAAACGTTCACTTGAAGTTTAAAAAAAAAATCTTCTTCAGTTTTCTGAGGATATAGCATAATTTCAACTTTTCTAAATTACTTGTGCATTTCTAGTCTAAACACTACAAAATGTAGTTTGTATTCCATCAAAGATATTAAAAGACTTAAGCAACCACAATCAAGCTAGGAAATAGGAAAAAAACCATTCAGCAGCATTTCTAAGAAATATAATTTAAAACAAATCAAACTTTAAGTCCTGTATACTTTTTTTTAAAGAACAGATAAAATTTGTAGTATAATGGCAGAGATAGGATCCACATTTGCATATTTATATTCAATATTAGCTATGTTTTCTTTTTCAAACCAGAAAAGTTAAAGAAAGAAAAACAAAATGTAGGAACTTAGCCGATGATATCCATAACAAAAGACTACAAAGGAGTTGCTGATGCTCCAAATACAGAAACAAAGCTTCACCATGCTTATGAAACATATAAGGTTTTTGAAATATTAATGAGTAGTACTTAAGTTTTCTACAAAACTACAAAGGCTATGAAAGGTGGAGGCAATAGCATATTTTATATCTATTTTACTATTATGCACATATCCACATTGGTCTAGTGAAACGAAAAAAGCTGAAAGGAGACCACTCAGATATGTTCTATTAGGAGCTATCTTCTAAACTGCTTGGTTTAAACAAAATACATGGTCCATTTGCTAATTTGCAGAAGACGTCATTGGCATATTATATTTGACCTTAGTTGTTTATCAATAGATTTATGAATATAATTCCTAATTATAACTTATAAAATTGTAAATGGTTTGCTGCTAGGGTACCTTCAAGAACTTTATTTTGATCAATTATTATTCTGCTAATAATTTCATCTATTATACACTAATTACAGCAAAGGCAAAATAACGGACATCATAAGAGAGTATGAGCCTTGATAATTAGAAGAAACACATCCAATAGGAAAACTAACCTGTAGTTAGTTTTTATTTTATTTTTTATTTTATTATTATTTTCATGTCTATTATTATTGATGCTTCAGCCCTTTGTGAACTAAAAGCAAGCATATGATTTTGGCAGCATATGCATAAATAAATAAGTTACATGTTGTCATTTTAAGCTTACCCTATTATTTTATTTAATTTTTGTAGCAATCTATCTCATGCATGTGACTCTTGGCAGCACACATAATTAAAATACAATGTTAAACAATCAACATAACTCAAGCACAACCACTAAAATACAATTAAAAGCATTTAAAACAACTTTGGCATCTCTACCATTTTTGGCATATTTATCATCCCTTTGAAGGAAAATCAGAGGCACAATTAGAGAATGGATGTCACAGATAACTTAAGAATCATATTTGCTTTTTAAAATTGGATCAGCCTTGCATAGACAAAACATGCTCTACGCTTCTCTCCTTACTTTGTGCAAAGCTGAGTCTAATTTGAAAATCTCTCTGTCATAAGTGTTATTGAATTGTAAAGATTTGTGATATATTTCTTTCTTTCCCAACATCATCTCTAGTTAATCTGTAGTTATGTTCACAGGTGGTCTCACACACTGATATATTATTTTTAAGAATCTTGGGTTTTTTAAATTCAAATTTAGCATCTGTGAATAGACTTTTTAAAATTGGGAAAGAAGAATAACCTTCATTTCAATGTCAGGCATTTCAGATGGAACTGAATGTATGGTGTGTTTAGTATGACAATTTAGTACTGAGTTATAACTGCTAAAAATAATCTTGCATTGTCTCAATAACATATTTGTTTGCAGAAGATGTCTCATAATCATATCCAAAGATGTTTTATAAATGATTCAAATACAGCAAAAGAAAAAAAGGAAAATAGGCTGCATAAAGCATGTTATAACTAAGTTTCAGGGACATGCAGTCACTAGAGGCAGGGGAGGCGGGGCCGCACCAGTCTCATGAGGAAAAGGAAAGAATTTTAAAGAATTTTTAAAAAATAATTAAAAGGGTCAAGGTGGTTGCTTCCAGACTCCAAGTCACAGTGACTTTGAGTCTGCTTAGTGTTAACTGTAGGGAGAGGTGAGACAACTATGGGTCTCCTTTGCATAAGGAATTTTTCACCTTTTAAGAGTTAAGCAAGGGTTAAAAAGCGAAAAATTTC